CGTCCACCAAATAGTCGAGGTAGCTACAACCTCTATTTGTGGAGTGAGAATAAAACGGATGGTCTAAAACGTCTCTAAAGCATGCGATACGACAGTTTATGACATTTTCAGAGGCCTATCTCTATCCGTTTCTGAGATGTCGTCCGCCAAAGAACTCGAGGTAGCTACATTGCAGAACGTTTGAAACATTAATTATAAGTATAAGTGTTTTATTTTAATCGCAAGTAATATTAGATACGCCTTAATAATATTATATGTATAGATAACGTTGGACCATTTGTTTTTTTTTTTTTTTTTCGAGAAATCAGTATTGTAGTTCATGAGTCGAAAGATAACTTTTAGGTAACCGAATGACTTTAAAATGTTAACTTCCAAATGTCTTTCTATTATTATTACTTATTATTGTAATGTTTCGGCATGAGTATCCGATTATCATAATTTAAAACATATAGATTGAATAGTAAAGACGCCGTAATGCTGCATAGAGCGCCTTTCTGATGAAGTAAGAAAACGAAAAGGTCTAGCAAAATACTTTTCCCGCTATCTGAAATCATCCTTTTTGTAGAGAATTTATTTTTTGTTGATTATTTTGTTTTTATAGAAAAATTATTTTGTTAAGTGCATATGTTCCATGAAGAATTACGAAAAAGAACCTCAAAAATTAATATGGATAGTTTGTCGAAAATTGAGTTACTAAATAAATCAAATTATGACATCTGGCAAATCCGAATGAAGGCCGTGTTATTAAAACACGACAAATGGTACTACTTTAGCGGAAAAATTACACAGCCGAACGTCATTCCTGGAGATCGCTCGACAAAGGCAGCGCTAACGAAGTGGAAGGACAAGGACGAAAAGGCACTAGCTGAAATCACCCTGTCGGTAGGCGATGCAAAATTAAGAAGCATCTCAAACTGCACAACGTCGAAAGAAGCATGGGAAAAACTGCAGTCAATACATGCGTCGAAAGGCCCAATACGGAAGATTGAGCTACTAATAGACATCACCTCGTTTAAATTGGAGGACTATGATGATTTCCGAGTGCGACTAAATAAATTCTCAAGTGCCGTCGAACAATTAGCAGGTATGAAAGTCGAAGTACCTAATAATATGCTAGTAGTCCTGATACTAAAAGGCTTACCACAGAGCTACGAGAACTTCAGGTGTGCCATCAGATCACAGGTTGACTTACCGAATACCGAATCGCTCATCGGTAAAATTCTGGACGAAAATAAAAGTTGACAAGCCAGTAAACCAGCCGAAGATAACAATGCGCTGTACGCCGGAAATAAGTACAAAAGGAGCCGACTTCCAGGCAAAGCGAACCCAAGATTCGAATCCCATGTCATATCTGCGGAGGCACTGATCACTGGCCGTCGATGTGTTCGGAACGAAACCGAAGTTCGGCAAAGAAGGTGGATTCACACGCAGGCGAGTTTATGGCATACAAGGCTGGGACATCTTCACATGGATGCAGTAGTGGACCTGTTCCACGGTCGAGCGTTGGGTATGAAGCCGTTAAAACACAGTAAACAATCGTGCGATACTTGTCCGCAATAAAGCATTCGACGATTTTCTAAAGAAAGAAGGCATCAGGAGACGCCTAACAACGGCACACACACCACATTAAAATGGTGTCGCCGAGAGAACGAACAGAACGCTCGTCGACATGGTGAGATGTCTTCTGATACAGTCTGGACTCCCTTCGTCATATTGGGGAGAAGCCACAAATACTGAAATTATCTAAGAAATCGCTGCCCCAGCAGAAGCCACGGCGGAAAGACCCCGCACGAACCATGGCATGGAAGGGTACCAAATTTGAGGGTATTTGGCGCAAAGGCATTTGTTTTGGGAAAGGGTCCTAGTCGACAAAAATTGAACGACCGCTCTATCGAGGGTAAGCTAGTCGAATACGCAGACACGGTGAAAGCTTATAAGATACGACGAATCGACACAGGAAAAATAGTGATTACTAGGGATGTGTCAATAGTAGAAGACTCAATCTTGAATACACAAAACGTAGAGCAGAAGGACATCGAATACATGCATCCGAACGAAGATCCAGATTCAGGGAGAGATGTCAGGCAAGAAAGAGTTCAGGAAGGTACTCATATGGAACCACCAACCAGGCGAGCACCGGGAAGACCAACGAAAGAAAAAACCGGTAAGCGCGGAAAACCACGAAAACTGTATGCAAGGTCCTCATAAGACTAGGGTTGAAGCCGACGATTTCTGGTGTCTACGTAGACGACATATTAGCCACAGCAACCGACGTGAAATTAATCAAACAACTGAAACGTGGATTAGCCAAAGAATTCCAAATCAAAGACTTGGGTGAAGCCAAATACTGTCTAGGAATTGAACTCAAATAAGAAGACGGGAAGATAAGCTTGAGTCAAGGAAAGTCCAACAACGAAATTAAAAGCTGGAACCGACGCGCAGAAACCGACGAAGAATCCACAGTATCGAGAGCTCATCGGGTCGCTCATGTACCTATCAACTGCCACCAGACCAGATATTGCGCTCAGTGTAAGCGTTCTCAGTCAGTTCAATGAGCACCCAACTGAAGAACACTGGGGCGCTGCAAAGCGGGTACTCCGATACCTGAAAGGAACGCCAACGCTCGGACTGGTACATACCACACCGATTGGGTAAATGATCGGATACACCGACGCAGACTGGGGCAATGACAGTGGAGACTCAAAATCGTACACCGGATACGTTTTTCTACTAGGAGGAGCTGCAATCAGTTGGAAGTCACGGAAACAACGTACCGTGCCACTATCCACCGCTGAAGTCGAGTACAAGGCATTGACAGAGGCGACGAAAGAGTCCATGTACTTGAGGGGACTCTTTAGTGAACTGGGAATACCTCAACTCTCAGAAGGGTTACTGTATTGCGACAGTCAAAGCGCAATAAAGTTAACGACATCGACGAAATTCCACGACAGGACGAAACACGTCAGAATTCAGTTCGATTTTGTTCGAGACGCTGTAAAGGATCGAGAGATAATACTGAACCATAAGCCGTCAGAGGAGATGGTCGCAGACGTACTAACGAAGTCGCTACCCAAGGAGAAACACGTCCTATTTTCCCAAGCAATGGGAATGAGAATGACGTAAAAACCGCCGAGTGTGTGCGTACACATTAAGGAAGAGTGTGGAAAATAGTAATGCTCACTCAGACACTTGAATATTACCGCGCGCGACACCAGCGCGAGCTCAGAGAATTGGATGCCTACCACGACGTCACCGGAGCCACCGCCAACTAACGACACGCCGATTGTATATACATATACACAACCAACTCTCTCTGTACACGTCATATAGAATATATCTAATCTTTCTTTTTCACAAACTAATTCTTTGTTAATTATTTATCCTACAACCACTCATCCCACAGTAAGCATCAAAATCCAATTGTACAAATACTGAACAATATCAAATCACCTAATCTTTCGAAGAAAATTTTCGAAAATTCAAAATGTACAAATACCGTAGGTACAAGAATATTTAATCGGATAAGCGCATTTGTAGATGAAAATTTCAAAATATTTTTAAATAGTTCTTATAATTTTAATTAAATTTGCTTTATTTTTACTTAAAGCATCACTGAATAATGGATTAAAGTTTCGCCCATTCTTTTGTGAAAATAATGATTAAAAATACACGAATATGCATTGTCATGTACAATAAATTAGAAATCTAGATGTGCGTATTGATGTAAACTGTACCATAAAAATGCGCAATGTGGCATATGGACAAATAAAAAATAGGTATAGGCTAAATTTACCTATTTTCCATTTGATATTCCTAAATTTTGCATTAAGCATTACTTTAATTATTAATAAAGTGGTTTCATTGTACTTTTGTGCCAAAACAGCATTTGTTTACTTGCAAAATAGTTTTTAATAGATTGAGGTACTTATTTTATTAATATTCGGTAATATAGGGGTTTATATTTTCAGCCCCACTAGATCGTTTCATTAGGGTATTAATTTTTACTTGGGTTTGCGGATAGAGTTGGAAGAAAATTTTAGTATTAAGTGATTTTAATAACTTGGGTTTTGGTAGGCAGTAATTTAATTGGATGTTATTTTAGTAAAGCTCGGTATAATTATTAATAGATACGCTGCGTTACTTTAAATAATAATGTACATATTCACAATTTCTATTGCATTTAATATTTCTTTCTTATATGTATATAAACATTTATAATTAATATTTAATATTGTTTTACAGAAAGGACATTCCTTACGATAAATATAAAATACAATTATAGTTTATCCTACCATTCCAGTACTCCTGGCATATATTTATCAATTAGTTTTTCATAGTAGGGCCATAAAGATTCAATATCGGGGATCGTAGTACTCTTTGTATATAAGTCATATTTACTGTTTTAGAACATACATTAAAAAAGAAAGGATTAGATATGTGTAAAATAAATTTACATGAATACATACTTCATTTCCAAGACCCACTTTTTCATTTCTTTATCTTTTTCGTTTTCTAGATGTGAATAATCATTGCCCGTATGCCAAGGATAGAAACTGTGATATTTAATCATATACAGAGCTTCTTCGGGAAGAGTAGTATTGTTATGTTTCAATACCCTGTACAGATATTCATCATGTCCCCACGACATAATTACATTATCAAGTCCGCAATTGGGTTTGTACATTCCGTATTTAGTGCTACAATTAGAAATTATATTTTTTGGTTACCTATAAGCAATAAAAGAAAAAGGACAAACTGTTTACTTATATCTAGGATCTTTTCCGTCTGGATTTTCGTCAAAAGAATGGTCTCTGTAGACGATAGAATCGGCCCATTGACAACCCACAACGAAAGTATCACCCACTACACACCATTGGGGTTCGTTGTAGAAAGCCATTACTTTGCCCAAATCATGGACAAGTCCGGTAAGTTGGAACCAATCTAAGTCAGGATGATCTTGTCTTATTCTTTCAGCAGTTTGGAAAGCATGGACGATATTTGGGATGTCATTATCGGGATCGCTTTCGTCCACTAAATTATTGAGCTTCTCTAAAGCATCTCTAACAGTGGATTTGAAATGGGAGAAAGTGAGCCATTTGGCCATTTTATCTATTGAAAGTTAATAATTATCCAATAATAATTGTTTTACTTACAATTGAAATAATTAAGATACGCGAACATATACTACATATTGTTGGAAAAGGCGAGCAAAACATGTGCATTCTTAGGAGTGCCACAGTGCTAAGCAAATAAAAAGATTTTTATGAAACTAAATACGAATGGAAAAATAAATCAAACGCTAACTTTCGTATTGAATTGTATCTTCTGAGCATGAAATTTAATGTTGTTAAAAATCTTCCAAACTTGAAAATCTGCAACGTAGATGACATCTAAACTATAATATGTAGCATAAAATTACTATAAAGGTAATGTGACTAATTTTTAGGAGTGTATAATATTGCAATATTGTATGTGCATTATTCACCATCATCCTATACATCTATGAAATTAATATTATTTGTAGCTAAAAATAAATAAATATTGACTTAAATAAAATTTGCCCAGTGCTCTTTATGTAATAAGGCCGGATTGTATACGTAGAATATTGATTTATACCTTTTACAAAATCTACTGTTTGGTTCGTATGCATATCGTAGTAGGTTTTTCGGACTCTCACTTTGATAGGATCGTTTTCATCGAAACTATAATTTCTGAAATCCTCCACTGGTTTGTCTGCGAAATGGAGTTCCAGTTTGTGCAGTTCTGATGGGTCTATTATTTTCACGGGAATTGCGTTCTTAATTTGAAATATTTAGAAATAAAGTATTAGCATAGATACAGGTACGGAATACAATGCATGAATAGATATATACAAAATTAGCAACAGTTAAAATTGGTTTAAGAAAAAACATACTTACAAGAACTTTCATACTGTTAGATTTAATCCGTAGCGAACAAAAAATTAACTTGTTAAGACTTCACTCTTTAATACCTATGTTGTTCTATCACACGAAGTCGTCTTTTATACATGACTTTATCAAAAGGGCAACGAAATGTATGATATAAGAACTTATTCTCAAAGCTTTAATTAATTTTAAACTGTAACATAGAGGAGAGAATTCTATTGACGCGTTTTGTTTTGCTTATCGAAGTTTATGAGGTCAGAGTTCGCTAAGTTTATGAAAATAGGTACACGAGACCGTTATGAAGAACGTGATCTTAAATTACGAAATACAAGAAAACGTAATCGTGTTTATACTCGTAAATGTACAAACAAATTTGCCCATATCTGCAAATATAAATCTGTACATATGTGTGTATAGCATACATATGTATAATGTATTTACAAACCTGCCTTACAAGGAGGTCTTTCTAATCAAATACCTAGCAAATTGTTGGCTCAAATAGAAAATGATAACATCGGGAAGAAAACGTGAATAGTTTTACAGTCTCAGGAAGATTTCGTTCCAAGTATTTTAGAAACCTAAACCTCTTTAATAGGACAAATGTCACTCTAAAGTATTATGCAACCATAAATAGATTCTGAACCCCCTTTCTCAACAAAAATTTGTGTTATTACGTAGTGTCCATAATTTTCTATTTCTATTTCTTTTTACATTTTGACCTTTTATAATACTTTACAATTTTATCATTCGTTTTTGTGCTTCATACTTATAAGTGTCCACCGCGTGGTTTTTAATTTTTTTACTTTAATTTATACAGTCATTTGTTTTTAATTATTTATTCATATTTATTATTTTATTTATATCACGAATATCTTTATAATAAGTATGTTCCTTTTCTTGATACCAGCGACGATTGTACTACTACATTGTTATATAGAGGTAACGACGTCATTTGTTTTCATACATCCTACCCTCTTAACTCGTGCTGAGAGAGCCTATCCCATCTGGAAAGAGGCATTATACATTTTTACTGACCAAAAAAATTTTTTTAGATTTTATATATTTGTTGTTTTTGTTTGATTTTATGTATTCAAATTATTTCTGTGTCTTTTGTGTATTCAAGTTAAATAATAATATTTAGCTTAAACTAAGCAAGCGCATTACAACAGCACTACGTAAATATATAAGCACAAAAGGAAAACAAAACAATAAGCTGCGTAAGCATTAATCTATAAATGAGCATCATCTGCATAATAATAATTGTAATTTTATTAAGGCAAATTTCCATACCAACATTAGCATTACCTTTTTACAGGTAAATTTACCAAAAAGTCAGAAAGGCTTGCACCCACTATAAATGGTAAAGAAGCAGCAACTGTTCCTTTAAAACATGTTACATGAGACGAGCCAACGTTCCCTGCTATTTCGCATACACTATTTTGGGGATTGTCTTTTCTGAAATTGGGAGGATTTCATTCCTACAGTGACGATATGGTTCAAACCCATAAATACGTATCATGACCCATAATTGTAACAACTGTTCTACAGTAACTGACCTACACTTATTTAAAATTAGATTATAGAACTGTACCTATATCTATTGCCTGATACAAAGTTTAAATGTTAAAAGAATAAACGCCGGCTACTAGAGGGTTTACTAATGAGATAAACACCCTGCATCACATTCAATATAATCTAACAAGTAAAGAATGTTAGAGTAAAAGAACATAAAACAAATACTGTAAGTTTGTGTATCAAGTTCGTACTTTAATTGATAAGACCGTCGGACAGAATGTTATGTCTCACAATATCAGTTGATATTGCGCGAATTCGCTTACTCACTTGTCATCACGGCCGTTATTGTCTGATTTCGGCAGTGAGCATTCTCACGAACTCTATCACATTACCTGTTTATGTTATGGTTCCGGCGCCGACCAGCCGGAATATGACTAAATTCTAAATTACAAATAACTTTAAATACGACAGACCAAAAGTCAACTGGCTTCACCCCTCTTTATTTATTAATCGGAGAAAATATTGTAAACCCAAATATTGCAGCTTTAACAAACGTTATTGCGCAAAGTATAACTAAAATCGATAATTTAAAAAGAGATCGGATCCTGGAATACAGACGCATGCAAAAGCAAAGCAATTATGCAAAAGATCTTTTTGATCGAACCAGAAGAAATAACAAAATTGTTAACATCGGCGACTTTATCTATCATCCTTCAAGGGACTCACATTTGGCAAAATTAGATAAAAAATATGAAGGTCCATTTGAAGTATTAAAAATATTACCAAACGACCGTTTAGAAGTAAAGAACTTGGCCACAAACAGGATACGAACAATTGCTAAAGACATGGTTCGTATATGGCCTGGTGAATTTTCCGAAAACTAATCTTTTCACACAAACGGTAAGTAGGCCGTGTGAGCTTATGTTTAGTAGGACTCTGATCACTAATTTCTTTAAAAGAGTGATGTTCACACAAAAAAAAGAAATAAAAGAACGATTAAAACGGATTTCTATCCGGATGTTAAGACAAGCTTTTGCTTGGTAAAACAGATTTCGATCCGGTTGATTAAGACAAGCTTTTGCTTGGTAAAACGGATTTCGATCCGGTTGATTAAGACAAGCTTTTGCTTGGTAAAACGGATTTTTATCCGGCTGTTAAGACAAGCGTTTGCTTGGTAAAACGGATTTTCATCCGGTTGTTAAATATGTTGCGAAAAAAAAACAACTAACTAAAAATAAATAATGTTCAATATCACAGGCAGCGTCTCTGTAAGCTCAGAGTTGTCCATCATAAATAAAATGGTTTGTAAGGAAAAATAATTTGCTAAGATTGAAGATCCCACAAATAATAAGAAAGAAATAACCACTGCTTCCGTACTGAAGTGACTACGGTGTCAACGAGGTCGACAAAAAAGTCAAATGTTAAACATGCACAGTTGAATTCATGTCACAGATGATGTGTGTGTCGTTCATTTTAAAATTCTACTGATAAGTGAAATTTCGGTATTTTAAGGAGAAAGCTATATTTCTACTTTTAAAGAATTAATAAAATAACCGAAACCACCGCTCAAACCAATAGCCAACAGATTACACAAAATTTAATCTAGTAGAAACACAAAAACGAAATTGAAAAAATGTTTGGGTCAGTTTCATGGAAAATTGAAGGGCATTTTTAAACATAAAGAATGACATAATAGAAGGAGGAGACTGTGGTAAATATTAATTAAAAAATTAAATTAAAAGGAATACTCACCCCTAATTACCACAAATAATTTTATATGAGCGGACACGTGTTTCGCCCACTTCACACGTGGGCATTATCAACGCGAGACTGAAGAGAGGTGGAGACCAGTCTTGCGTTGATAATGCCCACGTGTGAAGTGTACGAAACACGTGTCCGCTCATATAAAATTATTTGCGGTAATTAGGGGTGAGTATTCCTTTTAATTTTTTAAATAAATAATGACAGTTTATAAAAGTGAATAAATACAGCTTTGAAGTTATAGTTAAACTTAAATAAACGGATTCGAAGATGAAAGCAAAAGTAAATTGTTTGTGTTGAGAAGTATCGCACGTCGATAGGCTCACTGCACATGCGTGAGTAAAAGTATTAAGGCGCCGGGGCTCACTACTTGCGTTACCGGTAATTTTTAATTTGTTGGTCCGTGACCGTTGCCCACGAGACGTGTGCAATAAGAAGTTCCTTTGTTAACACAAAACTAATAAAGCGTACATATATATATTGAAAGTTATCCTTCTCTTCAACCCTATCGTCCCTCTTTCCCTTCGATAATCTCAACAGGTTATGGGCACAGGCAAGCAGCCTGCGTAACACCCGATTATCGAAGTCAGAGAACAATAGAGAGAAAACGGTTATCACGATATTTTTTTCTTCCTTTGTGGTCGACACGTGGTCTCCATTGTAGTGTACCGGTAAACGCGTACGGGAAAATAATCGAACGAAAATAGCGGAATCAACTCTGATAAAAAACTTCAAGAAGTTTGATGGCTCGAATTTTCAAGCGTGGAAATTTCGAATGAACTCGATGCTTATCGCGAACGCGATTCGAGACGTCGTAACGGACGCGCGAGTGATGCCGGCAGACGCAGATTCGGCCGATGGCAAAAAGTGGGTGAAAGACAACGCGACGGCCATGTGCATAATTTCCTCGTCGACAGAGGATTCCCAGCTCGACTCTATGCTCAACTGCACCACAGCGAACCAAATGTGGGACAAATTGGTGAGAATTCACTAGCAGAAATTAGTGTCGAACAAGATGCTCTTGCTACAAAAGTTTCACGGACATCGCATGGAATCAAACGAGTCGGTTGTACAAAGCGTTTCCCTGGTACAAAACATGGCGTCTCAACTGAAGGATCTGGGAGAAGCTCTCCAGACAGCATGGGACAGTGTACCCGAAGAAAGACAAACCCTTGATAATGAAATATTGAAAATACTGAAAAAGGTTTCGATGTTTAGTTCAAAGGAAAATTAGTAACAATTAACCATGACGGTGAAGTTTTCGGTGTCGGTGTGCAACAAGACAATCAGATTTACCGAATGCTCTTTAAAGTGAGAGAACCAAGTGTTGCGAGAGAAGCAAATGTGTCAACTGTCAACTTGCGTGTCTGGCGCGAACGAAAGGGACACGAAAACAATACACCTTACCGCGAAATGACGCAAAAGGAGCTAATTCGCAGTGTAAAATTAGCGGATATTGGCAATTTCTTCTGTGAATCGTGTGTCTTCGGAAAGGCACACGGGCTTCCGTTCAAGAAGAACGAGACAAAAAGAAACACAAAACCGGGAGAATACATACATTCGGACGTATGCGGACCATTCTCAACAGAGTCGATCGGTGGTGCAAGATTCTGCATAACCTCAAGGACGACGCATCAGGATTTCGGTATGCTTACTTCATGAAACATAAATCTGATGTTTTCGACATTTTCAAGAAATACTAAAAGTTGATCGACAACAAATTCGGCAAACCGATTATGGTGTTACGTACGGACAATGGTCGAGAGTATTGCAACCCTGAAATGAAGCGATATCTCGAGGCTCGTGGTATCGAGCTGGTAAACACGGCACCTTACAGTCCCCCAGCAGAACGGGAAAGTCGGGAAAGAAAGTTCCTCTGTCGCTATGGGCGGAAGCAGTTGGCACAGCAGTGACCAT